ATTCGCCTCTGCTCAAACCAAGTGTTTCTCACGTGGTTAGAGCAGCCGCGTATTGAGCCGAAGGTCGTAGGTTCGAATCCCGCTCGTGACATTAACTTTTTCATTTCAACCAATACCTTACATAAAGATTAATTAATTGAAAGAAGTTATTCGGTCAATCGGGTCACATCCATCTAATGGATTATGAATAAATACGACAGCGGAACATAACTGGTTTCATACCGGCACATCTACAATATAACAAATCCAGAAGGCATAGTTCTTCGAAAATCGACCATACTAATTCTTAATTATTAAAAAAATAATACTTGTTTCATTAACTTTTGGAATTATTTATTTAGTTTATTTAGTTATTAGGTTTTCAGATAGTTTCTTAGACAAAACGTTATGCATTCAAAGGTTCTATTTCATATTTCGGCGTTTATTCACATTTATTTAGTTCTCCTTCAAACGGAAGGAATGTAAATGACTCAAAGGCGGATGAGGTCGTTTGCGAGCAGAAGCAATTATTCATTCCCAGTTATTATATTAACCCCACGGTTTTCTTGCGGGACCAGTTTCGTAATAAGAATTTTAATACAGAGTCATTTCGCACTTTTCTAAGCAGACTCTGTGGCTTATTGCAAGTAGAAAAGAAAAAAAAACGCCGGGAAAAGTGTTCAAATTTAGAAATCATAATTTAGTATTAAAATCAGGGAAGAGCCCAACTGGAAAGAAAATAAAACTCGGTTCTTTCGTCATCCTTTCACCCCCTTTATCAGGACATTAAAACTATTAATAATGATCAAGAGATATCCCTCGGAAAAACTTTATTGCCGACTATTTTATTTATTTAGTAAAACCACAAATTTAGAGTAATAATAACAGAAAAAATAAGATTCAAATTTAGGTAATAAGTACATGTATAAGAACTCACAAATATACGTGACAAAGCAAACAATTATGAACATCAACGACAGTTCTCCAACTTATTAAGATAAAATGGACGGGTTGTAGCTTTATAAACCTCAATAGCACATTATTTCTGAGTCTATTGTCATGCACGCGTTAAAATGATCGACAGTGGGATCACATACTCACTGGTTTGGTAGTCCCTGTAAAGCGATCAAATGTCATTCAGTTTAATAGTGTTCACAGACTTGTTGAAACTTGCAGATGTTGCTTCCTTCCAACTGCAGCAGGCCCCTACAGTACTCTTCTTCAAACTCAATTATTCAGAAATCGTGAAATGCGGTCTGGTGAGATGTAGGTTTCAGAAAAACATTTTCTTTGTCGTGCCAACGTTTCGATCTTTATTGAGATCATATTCAGGGCTCAAAGTGTTTGTCTTCTGTGTAATTGTGCCATTCTTGAGTGTCGTGTTGAGAGTGCACGACACGCAAAAATGGCACAATTAAACAGAAGACAAACACTTTGAGCCCTGAAGATGGTCTCAATAAAGATCGAAACGTTGGCACGATAAAGAAAATGTTTTTCTGAAACCTACATCGCACCAGACCGCATCTCATGATTTCTGAATAATTATCGATTAACGGTCACTAATCACCACACGCTTCTTCAAACATTGGTTTCATCTGCTGTTTGGATTGTCAAAACTGGGAACTTTGGGTTAAGTTCCATTTCAATCTGGCGAACCCTACTGTTAGTATTGTACAGTTATATAGCCATTTCTTTATATTTTTTATATGCCTTTTGAATAACTAAACAGGAGCCTTGGGCCATCTATACCCGGAGCTACTCAAAACAAAAAAAATAGGGAAATAGTCTACAATGAGTCAGTTCCAATGAAACTGAATGGGACACAGTAGGCGACGCTACTGATTAGTAACTAATGGTGTGATCCAGGCGACTCTGCCGAATCACTAGTGACTAAAGAAGCTCAGTTTCGAGTGATTTTCAAGATGGATGATCAAACAGGTGAACTTATTATTTTTGAAAGAAGGTGGAAAACATCGTTTTATTCAAATTAACACTAGATTCTGGAAGAAAGACGACACTGAAAAGGCATGGTTTGAATTTGGAAAAGCGCATGAACGCTCTTCTCTGCAATGGTAGTACAGTAATATGATTCTTCTCTTGACTCATCACTAGAATCAGCAATGACAACAAATAAAGAAAGAGATGATGTTCCATGATTTCATTTGGGGAAATTACTGATTTCGATTTTTTAGTTACTTCTTGTGTGGATCCGCGTGACAAATGAGTTTGTAACTGATTTGTGATTCCAGTCAGAAACCAGTTCCGTTTATTTTAATAGCTCCGAGCGTAGACGATTTTTTTTTTTAGTTGGGTTTTTCATATCCCACCTATCAATCGTCAAGTTTTTGGACAGACTTTCAGTCCCAGAAGAAAACGAGCATTGCTCACATCTGCTTAAAAAAATGTATGGCAATTTGTTTTTTATATAAATATAACAATACAATACATGATTCGCTTTCTTCATTAGGGGCGAAGATTCTTATGTTTGGTTGGCTGATGACTAACATTACCCACAATAATTATTTCGTAAATATGTATTTTTTGCTTTCGATTGTTCTACTTAAAAATACTGCTAATCGGTTTCTTCTTTTGTTGTTGATCTGGTAATACTTAAACCTTTGGAGATAAAGCCAGATCAAGTTATCTCTTAAAGTTGTTGTCTCAGTGCACTGTGTACTTTTTAAACTATCTTATCTTTGCTGAATACTGGACATTTTGCACACACGTTGATGTATAATCAAATTTTTCATTGTGAAATGAATACCATAAATGAAAATTTTTGATAAGGGTGTTTTTCCATTTCCACACTGATAAGAAATCACGTTACACACTAATGAAGCTAAATTAAAAATATATGTTCAGGGAATGTAATAGCTTTGTATATACGTAACAGGATTAAAAATGTATTTTTAAATTCATTCATGTTTTATCCATAGTGTGTCTGGTCGGGTGGGTGGAGGATTTTTATCATTCTCACGTTAATTGTCCATTTTCACCTTCGTTTTTTCGTTTTATCCAGCAGTATTAATTAGTGTCAATGTTGTGTTAAAAAAACGGACAATCCGTTCATATCAAAACACCCACATTTACTTAAACACTTTGGAACATTGAAATAAATTGGAATAAAAAAATTCGGTTTAAAAACTTAAAATAAAAAAAAATAACAATCAAGGTTTGTATTGTGTAAAAGGAATTTGTTTAAATATATATATATATATATATATATATATATAATAAAAATAGATGTACAGATAGATGAATAGAGAAAGTGAGAGGATGAGAGAGACATCCTGGCTGAAAGATAATAACAAGAAGCATACATAGCTAGATGAAAAATAGAAAGATATATAAAGAGATGAAGATAGATTGATAGAGAAAGAGAGAGAATGTGGGAGAGGGGATGGGAGAGGGGGTTAGAGAGGGGGTGAGAGAGGGGGTGAGAGAGAGAGAGAGAGAGAGAAAGAGAGAGAGAGAGAGACAGAGACAGAGAGTGCAAATGAAAGGGAGAGAGAGAATATCTTGGCTGAAAGATAAGCCAGTACAAGAAGCAAACATACATATAGCTAGATAAAAAATAGAAAGATAGACAAAGATATATAGATAGATTGATCGAGAAAGAGAGATAAAAGAGGAGAGGGGGAGATAAAGAGAGTGAATGAGTGAGTGAGTAAGTGAGAGATAGAACGTCCTGACTGAAAGCTAACACAGCAAACACACACTCACATTAAACACTCTGCAAGTTCAATAATGCAATAGATTTAAGCTTGTTTTGAGTCAAAATTGGCCAAAAATAAGAGTACCTTTGCTTAAAGAACAACTAGAAAGGAGTTTTATCGTGATTCTTATTATAAAATAAATAGGAACACGGATTATTTTAATTTCAGGTCGTTTAATAAAATAAACCTAAACAACTACTTATAATATTAAATATTGTGACTCCAACCATAATGGATTTATGGTTTTCGCTTAGTAAAGTCTATAACCTGTCCAGTCTTCTATTTTCTCTTTGATTTTTTTATAATTATAATATGTACTAATTTACAGTTTGTCCTATTTTGAAACTCGGCAGAATGAAATATTTTAATAAGCATATGCTAACTGAGGATGAACGATGTATGAATACAGATTAATCTGTATAAATACTTTATACAAATCGCAGTATAAAATAAATTTCAGTCGTGTTTTTCGCTGTTTATTTTATTGTGGGATTTACACTTCATTAAACTTCACAGCACTTTTTACATTAATTTGTTCGGTGTTTTTTGGAAGGTCTTTTCGAGCTATTCTCAGCTCTTCCTCCGCCAATTTGGCAATTCTTTTTATCTTTTCCCAGGCTGGGCAAGTGCTCAGAGGAGCTCGATAAGACCTTCCAAGAAAACTTAACCTAAATTAATGTAAATTGCAGGTAAAAAATAATCCCAAATTAATTGAAGTTGCTGGTTTTATTGGAGTCTAAAAACTACCTAATACGTCCTTTAATTTGTAATGCTGTAATTATTTTTTATGCATTTTTAGAAAAAAACAAAATTTGTATATGAAGACACCAAGCATAGTGCTTTTTGTAGTATTGTATAACACAATGATGTGTGATAAAAATAAAATACGCTAAAAAATGATGATTACGTTAGGGATTTGTAATTTCAAAATTTGGTATATTTGAAAAACCTGCATTGGAAAAGATACTAGAAAACGTTTGAAAACTCCGATGGAAAGCTAAGACACTTAGCCAAATTTATAGTTGGTTGTTATAAATTTCACTTCAAATTCACTAATAACACTTTATTAAATAAAAGGAAATATATTTTTCTTTGTAATAAATTTTTTTTTAAAAAGATAGATTTTAAATGTTCAAAGGGTTTCAGGATATAAAACAGTTTCCTTTTTAAGACTTAGGGTTCTTTATATTGCACACCTGGAATTGTTGCACATTGGACTTTTGCAGTAATCTTATGTCCTCAAGAGTCTTTAATGACTTGTTTTTATTAAGAAAATAAATAAATGTATTCTTTAGCCGGACGTACCAGATCATCGGCCATAATGACGACGATGTGTGGCCTGAAGGACTGCAGGGCCATGCCGGTGTCGTAGAAAGTGGCGAAGAGGCAGCAGACAAGCAGGCAGCTCACGTTGTTCATCGTGGTATCCATCCTCTGACTCTGACTTGAAGATTTATCCTTCCGGATCTCCTCGGCTCCCCTCTCTCGACCTGTAACAATATTTGAACTTGAGAAGATCCGTGGAAGCTGGGACCAAGGTGGAAAAGCCTGAAAAGTGGGGAGTCTATCTTAATTGCAGGCTCTTTGTCTGAGAGGAAAAATCGGAAAAGTGAATATCGCCGGATAGAAAATGTGATTACCGTATGACCTCTTGTGAAAAAAGTTTTAATTTTCATCTTTGACGAGCACCACTGTTTATATTTATTTATTTGTGTATCATTTATGCATTTTCGTTCTTTTGTTCTAACTCACATTATACAGGTCAATCTACAGATGGAAAGTTAAATAAAACAAAAGGTTTAAAAGGTTAAAAAAAATAAAACTAAGGTGAAGTTGAGCTAATTATGTTGTTAGTGCAAGGATTATTAATTATTATTATTATGCTACACATTATCGTCGGTAGGCTTTCGATACTTCGCTTACTTGTTGATCTACCGATATAGCGAAAGAGGTTATTGATTAAAGTATATGTTAAAAAATACGTTTTTTATTGTATATTAATTTATTGTCCAAAACGTCTAAATCTATAAGAAATATAGTCCTTTTAGACAAAATTAAAAATATATTTTCACTGTGTCGGTAAAATGTTGTAATTTCTGTATAATTCAAAATAATTTATGTTATCTTGATTATAATTCAGATCATGATAATAATTATGCAGACGGCAATTTAAATAAGTTGGATAATTTGGTACAATAGATTATTTTATTTCTACATAGTTATGGCGTTTGTTTTAAACAAGAAATATGACAGCAAAGAGAATGATAAAAATTGTAGTATTCTATAATTACACTTAATAAAGTGTTAATTATTGTTAGCCAGGATGCGAAGAAATTAAAAATTATGTCAATTACAGTAGGTTAAAGAGGAATTTCTTATAAACTTTTACACAATAATTGCATAATTGGTAATATGAATTAACGCAATGTATGTTATTATGACCAATTAAAGTGATTAAACCCATTATCAAGGAAATAGTCCAAAAATCAGTTTACTGAAACTTTCTATCTACGTTTTTCATATAAAAAAAATTACATTATATAAAATTGTTTAATTATCAGTTTTTATAATTAGTGGTGTTATCAATGTATAAGTTATAACGGCTCAAAATTGGCCATAAGCGGTTGACACACGAACACTTTTATATCCAAAACCCGAGTATGTGCCAGGCATGCAGACTCAAGGTATAATATATTCATAACTGAAGCGTCAGTCTTTGGTTCCATAAAGTGAGCGAGGAAGTATGCCGCTTGATAAAAGAATTGTGCTTACGGCATTGAATCTTGGATTGGATTTCTGGAGAAAACTGGGGTAATTTTGTATATGTAGATCTTTTATTTTTTCCCGAGTTGTTTATTAATACTATCGATGTATATATAGGGTCCGATTTTGATAAATCTTTGTTTAGTATTTTCGTTAAGAAGTCTTGTATTTAGATGTTCCTTCGTGTCAAGAAATAACTTTCTGGATCATTATTCGGAGATCTTGAGATGCGGTTTGGTGTGACGTAGGCTTTAGAATAACATTTTCTTTGTTAAATAATTGTTTAGGTGCACATAAAACATCAATATCTCACTGGCACTCTCAACACGACAGACAAGAATGACGCATCTACACGGAAAACAAACACTTTGATCCCTGAAGATGATCTCAATAAAGATCGAAACGTTGGCACGATAAAGAATATGTTTTTCTAAAACCTACTTCACACCAGACCGCATCTCACGATCTCTGAATAGTCATTAACTAACGGTCGCTAAACAACACATATTTCTGGATCATTGTTTTTTTGACATAAAATATATCCTACGTATGTTTTTCTTAAATGAGACTACCAACTTTTTAGTTTGGATTTCAAAACTACATAATTTTTATAGAAGATAGCGAAATGAGAGTTTTACTAACTAAGTATTATCACTATTAACACTCTCATGTCGGCCGAAGCACCACTCCAAGAAAAAAAAAATTATGTAGTAATTTTACTTAATTATAAGAAAGGATAGAGAACAAACTTTTTTAGTACAAAATATTTAAATAGCCATCATATTATACAACATAATATTTACTAATTATTATTTCCGAATAATTCACTATTATTATTACTAATACATACAATTACATGCAATTTATACAACGATTATTCGGAAATTGTGAAGTGAATTAGTGAATTTAATGATTTAAAATGAAGTATACTTCAATAAAGTCTGGCCATTTCATTTGTCGTCGAGAATCCGATCCGATTACACGACATTTGAAAAATGGCAAAACGGAGGGAAAATTCAAAAGGTGTCCGAGTGGATCGAGGTCACAATAGCTCAAGTGGTAGAGCAGCGGCGTATCTAGCCGAAGATCGTGGGTTCGAATCCCGCTCGTGACACTGACTTTTTTATCTCAACTAAAAACCTTAATTAATTGAAAGATATTAATTGCTCAAGCGGACCACGAAACTAGTGAATTTATTAACAGAACTTTTTCGACCTCAAGACATGAGGCTTTTTCAGTGTTAATACATTTATCTATCTAATGGATGGACAAATGTAATTAACACTGCAGAGCACTCTTCGTTTAATATTTCTATTATGTGCTATTTCATCCCAATTAAATATGCAACCAAAATGTAGAAATTTTATGCTATATAGAAAAAAAGTGGTAACAATGTGATAAAGGAGAGTGATGTTAATCTAGTAATTCAACTTTTCGTCCAGGGCAAAATTTATTTCGTGTAGATTTTTAAAACTTGAAAGGGGTCGATTCAATGCATGGGATGGGAACCGCTTGGATGAATAAATTACGTGCTACGAGTAAATTTATGTAGAAACAATAAATAGTTGAAAAACATAATATTTTGAATATCTGTGAAAGGGTTGAGAATCGGACCAAGGTCCAAACGAAATTTTTTGTTACATTTGCGTTGTAGAACACCTAACGAACTTAGCCGTACGAGTAGGTGAATCGTGTAATATATCATAGTAAGTGGGCTTAACTGGGATATGCACAAAAACATAAATCTGATTGCATTCTAAATGTACATAAAACAGAAGGTCCGAAGAATTCTTGTGTCACATCTTTGGTATCCATTTCAGTTGTTTTCTACAATTCAGTATATTGGTTAACTTATCAAAATATTGAAATGTACAGAAACAAATAACCTTTTTTTGAAACGTGACTAAAAAAGAGAATAAACAAACTCTCAAAAATGGCGATTTCTTTTCAACGCAATATGTGTTTTTGCCAAAATTAAAAGGGCAGTGTTTTTGCCAGTGGGAGTAAATTAATTGGCAAGTATGTTTCCACCTCAGCTGTTCCACAAGAAATTCAATTTATACAATGGAAGACACTGTGTGTATAAATATACAATATTTATTAGCTACATATTTATATTGTATATATAAACTTGTATTCATGCAAAACTGTAAGCGATAAATAATTATTTAATGACAGTTCTGGTACTATAAGTTTTAGTAAAATACATCAGTACAACCTATGTATATCATGGGTCGAAAAAAAATTTAATAAGAGGCAAAATCGTAAACCAAATCAGGTTAAGGGGGCCAGTTTGAAACTTGAATAGGTATATTTTTAATAATATGTACTTCAACTTTTAAGCAAAAAAGCTACTTTTTTATTAGGAGGTGATTTTTTCATGCATGATATTTATACACGTTATTTTCGATACTTGAAAATTAAAAAATAATGAATCTTTAGATTAATGATTATTCGGAGATCGTGAGATGCGGTCTGGTGTGATGGTGTGGTGTGGCACTCTCAATACGACAGACAAGAATGACAGATCTACACAGAAAACAAACACTTTGAACTCTGAAGATGATCTTAATAAAGATCGAAACGTAGAAACGATAAAGAAAATATTTTTCTAAAACCTATGTCACGCCAGACCGCATCTCAAGTTCTCCGAATAATCATTAACTAACGGTCAGTAAACTCCACACATTTCTACTTTAGATTAATGAAAACATGATCTTTTTTTCGCCCTTTTGCAACAGTATTTACTTGAATATACCAGAAGTAAAATTGTTGATCTCTCCAAATGTAAAAATAATTTAAAACAAAATGTGGTAAATTAAAAAAAGAAAAAAAAAACAGTGTAGCACTTGAATGCGAAGAATCATCCAGTGATGGCCTTTCTTGGTCAACTCTCAGTGCCCAACAGGTCGCGAGGCCATTGCCGCTCTAATCATCTGGGAGGATTATTGGGAATAGTATGGGATGCTAAGGTTAGGACTTAAGTAATAGGGGTATAATAAAAGGGATTGGTACAATTTTGAGTACCAGGATTTTGTGACCTCTGTCACAAAAGGAATGTTAAAATCATAAATTATAAAATTGGATGCATAAAAGGGAGCGTTAACTATTTTTGGTCGATTCTGGAATGAGAAATCTGTTAACAATGGTAGTTGGAATGTTTGGTTAAACCCCTAGAGTTCAATGCCGTAAGTCCAGTTGGGTTTTATTATCGTATTGTATATCAGTCGTTTTTTGATACTTTAATTTTGATCGTTCGTCTAGTAGTCGTAAGAGCTTTGTGTAACGTCTAGTCAGTTCCTGCTGTTTTATTTTATTGTTTGGTGTGCAGTTCCCAAGTTAGTAATTTGTCGACTTACAGCCAAAGGTAGTGGACGTGGTTAATTATGTCATAAAAAAATCAATGAACCTATGGAAAAATGTAAACGTGTACTGTTATGAAAAAAAGAACGTAAGGTCTTTTGAGATATTAGATCATACTTTCAACATAGTTATTTCAATCAATAAATTTGCTTGTAAATGGTCAGCTAATAATAATGGGTTGGGATTTTGCGTCTTCGTTTTGCTTTATCTTTCAATATTAGCTATAGAGAAATCACAATGCTGCGATGAATTAATCTTTGCGATTGGCGAAGGGTAACGTGATAAAAGGGCACGGTGGGAATCGAACCCACGACCCATGACCGAGATAAAAGTAAGATTTTGCTGGATCAGAGGTCGTGATGGG